CCAAAGTGTCTATGGGTCCATTGTTCCCTTTTCGGATACATTGACAGAAAAGCCCAGAGGAGAAACAGTTAGAGATCCTGTGTTTGGTTGCAATCCAATTTTATTTGTATTAGTGCAAATATATAGGAACACAAATACAAAGACTGTAGATTTTGGTTTAATTTTGTTTTGGTTTTTCTTTATTCTGCCTCAGGTCTTATTTTGCTTCATTTATAGTACAACCAAACTAAATAATGTAAAATTTAACACAAAAATAAATCAGAATTTACACCAAAAACATTTACACTACTATAGTTTTGCATCTATTTGCACTGCAACCAAATATAGCCTTAGGCTTATTAGTTTGGGAAGAAAGCAAATACAAATGTGTTCAGTGTAAAACCTTGTATATGCACTCTTCCCAAATTGATTTTTAAAAGTGCTTGATTATGATACTGGAAAGGTATCGTATTTGAGAATTTTGTGACCAGCAATCAACTTATGGTTTTTAAAAATGAACCGGTGATCAAATTGGTCAGGGTCCAGTTACCGGTTCGAATGGTCTGACCGTTTGACCCGAATGGCCGATCCATTCTGACAAAAAAAATAAAAAAAATTTAAAAAATTTGGAAAATGGTCAAAACCGTTCGAGCGGTTAAACAACCAGTTCAGCGGTTTGCTGACCAAAATCAACGGTTTTGAGGAAAAAAAGCGGTTTTGGGAGAAAACGAAACCAATTAGGTGACCGATTCCCTGTTTTTTCGGTCTGGTCCGGTTTTGAAAACCATGAATCAACTGATATCATAAACATGGTAGTCAATCAGTTGGTGTTAGTTATCAAAAAAAAAATAAATCAAGTGGTGTTTATCAAAATTTACAGATGGGTTTTAATTGGTTAAAGCTCTTCCAGTACCATATCTTTCCTGCATCATAAATTTTCCCATTTTGAAATCAAATGTTTTAAACGAGATGGTTTAAATGAGGTAAGGAAGGGTTGATCTCAATGTTGATTTCAATTTCTGCTATGTTTATTTGTAGTGTAATTTTATTTTAAATACTACAGAAATTTCAAGTTTTGATTGATTCTTTCCTGTGATTTTATTTATTTCGCTTCAGATTTTATCTTACTTTATCTGCGCTGCAAAATAAAAAAATAAAAACAAAGTAAAACCAAGATACAAACAAAATTAAGGCAAATTTTTAACTCAACTCATTTGTACTCTCATACTTTTGCACCAGTGCAAATGAAATTGCACTGCAAACAAACAATGGCTTCATGGGATTTGTCAAAAGGCTCACTTGGATGGCCAATCTTTGGGGGGCCCGGCTCAATTTGAATCTAGTTCAATCAGCTGTCACAGTGGTCTCAATCACAGAATTTGGCCGTTTGGGTCCAGGTTACTCAACCATATACTTGAGATGCCGGTTTGCTTAGCTGGTAAAAGTCTGAAAATCATAGAATCAGGTTCCAAAAACTTTCTTCATCAACAAAACCACCAGCAGGATTATCTAAAACACCACCCTAACACAAGAAACATTCCCTCTCTTATGATGATTTTGAAAGGAATTCTGGAGAAGGGATGAGAGAGGGGGACTCCGATTGATGACTGATTTCTGTTCCATTCATTTTCCTTTATAGTATCTATCAAGTGTTGGGTCTATGGCGGTGTCTTATTATTCTCTCTTGGAGGGTTTATGTAATGCTTGTAAACAAAAAAAAAAAAAAAATACCAATTTGAGATTCTTCTGTGTGTGGAATATAAATTCATTGAACCTATTGTACTTGGTGTCACCTATCCTTTGACCTGGTTCTTATCAATTTGCTATGTGATTCAGGTTAATCAAACCATTCCCACACTTATTATATTTATACTTAAAAGCAGTAATATGGTGAAGTATCATATATACCATGTTAATTGTGGTACAAGCAATGATTTCATATACTTTAGTTATATAATATGTTTCAGTTCAGTAGTACCCAAAGAAAAGAAAGCTTTATTACTTTTCTTTTTCTTTTCAATACCATATAAACTACTAGTACTGCATTCCTAAAATATATGGAATTATGGATTGTTTGGTTGTTCATCATCCCTTTAATTTTGTTTTTGTTGGGGTGAATTTGTATTGGGCTTGTGGAATTTACAACACCGTGGATATCATCTGTAGTACATCAAGCAATTGAGATATGGGCTGAGCTTGAGCTTGAGCTTGAGCTTGAGCTCCCAAGTGTTGTACTTGGATTCTAGTTTTGTACACTTTTAGACAAAGCACTTAAGTAGGGAAAAGAAAAATGAAGCGATTCGCTCCAATCAATTGATCTCAAATTTGATAAAAGACATCAGCTTTCCAACCTACTTGCATCTTAAAGGATTGAACGTGTCGATCAAAAGCTAGACAAGACCATGAAGATCTCAGAGAGCCAAGGGGCACAAGGGTACAGCAAGGAACAAGAATAGTTCTAGATTAGATGAAAGCAAGAAACCTAATCTGTAGTGATCTTATGCTCAATCAACTTTGACATAGATTCACCCACAGCCAACATGCAATCACATGAGTTTGTGTGGAACATGAAACCCACTTGGGAGGATGCAAGATAGACACTCAATATCGGTTTGGGAATAGCAATCTCACTTGTATATATCTCTTTTTAACTTCTCCATTATTGGAGCTTAAGTATGGCTGGCTGTTTTTATATTACAGATCACTAATTAGAATGAAAAGAAACCGGATTACATTACACAAGTGGCCACTAAGGCTGCCCGCCTTAATGTTAAGTTGGTTTGACGATAGGAGAAAACATGGCACCAGATACTACTAATGGGTGCTGTACAAAATCCTTCATTCCCTTTGATATATGATGCTTTTTGTGGCCAATATCAAGATGGCGATCAAGTTATATGGGAATGAAGTGCCAAATATGCCCTTATACGATTTCCTGGTCTATGACCTTCAGTGTCCCTGCTGGCTCCTTTAGCTTGGGGGTGGCCCCTATTTAGAGTTATTCTTTAGTGTACAACAGTAATGAAGAGAAAATGAAAATAGATCAAAGGAGCAATCATCAATATAGGTATTCACAGTTTGGATATAAAATATATATAAGAAACATATATAATATGCATGAAATATATATATATATATTAAATATATCGATCGGTTTCAACGTTTTAAAAAATAACCCAGAAATGGAACCGTTCTGGCCACTGGTTTTTGGGTTAACGGTCCAACTGTCCGGTTTGAATGAACAGCCCGTTTTGACAAACAAATTAAAAAGTAATTAAAAATAAAAAACGGTCAAAAACCATTGAACAGATAGACGGATCGACGGTTCAACCACCTGGGTCAACGAATTGTTAACATTTTTAACAGTTTTTGGACAAAGACCAAGTTTAGGGTAAAACGGAACCGGTTACCTAGATTGTTCCTAGGCCAAATGGTCCGACCATCCGGATCAACAGTGGCTCAAAAACCTTGATCGGTTGAATATGTTTCCAATTGCATTTCTACTTTCTTTGTTATCCTTGTATTTTAACATCTTTTTAATATAATAATGTAAAATAAAGGCAATTATGGTTATTACAATTACACAAGTTACATCTTATATATATATATATACTTAGATGTATTGCTTTATTTTTTTTTATTGATTCTCCCCAAATACACAGAAATTTCAGTGACTAAAGGAAATTAATTCATTCAAAACTGTCCCAAGATTCCCTTTCATTACTGTTCTTAGAGTATTAAAGCAGTGTTTGATGGTTAAGGGTGATCATCAAAAATCGAAAAATCGAACCAACCCCATGAAACCAAATTTACAATTTACACTACAGAATGAATGAATGACAAATTTCACTGTAATATCAAAAATCATTTGAAGGGACCACTTGTATTCACTGGATTTACAATTTACACTAAAACAACAGTTCTGAATTATTTGGAGGGTATTTAAGTCATTTGTTCAGTCAGGACACGAGGGATATTTAGTGTACTTGCTTATATTTGCGCAAATCAAACCCCCCCATGTGTTAGATTCTCCGGCTATATATAGGTCTCACCTTTACCTTTAGTACTTAGGTTGCAGCTTTAGTTCCCAATAGATGATGAGAAGACCTTTTGGAGTTTTAAGTGGACTACCTTTTTATGCAAGACCAGATACTCTTGGGGATGCATATATATTTCACTTTTAATTTATATTACTAAGACATAATTAATTACTTGATTTTCATCTAATCACCAAAATTATTATTTAATTCCATTGAATTTAATTTCCATTGATCAATAGAAGGCTTTATTGGAGAATCCTATTAATTAGAAAGCTATTAGTTTGTTACATATTCATTCTATTGGAAAAACTAATAAAAAATAAGACAAATATACCAAAATATAAAGCATAAATGCTTAAGGCTATGCTTGTTTGGATAGAGAATATGAGAGAAAAAATAATTTGTGGGAAAGTTTGACAAAAATTTGTAAAACTCTTTAACAACTTTCCCTCATCTTTCTGTTTTGTTCTCTTGTTTTCCTTGAGACCAAACACTGCATGGCTTGCCTTCATGGAAATTAGCTTGAATTTTTTCTGAATGATTCGGGTGAATTGGAACTCTAGAATTTTCTGGTGGGTTATGGACTGAGACTGGGTGGACAGGTGAGTTAACTCGGTTCGTTACCCTACCCCTGTTGTGTAGCCCACCCTCAATAAAATGGCAGGAATGCCCTCACCATATATCATTTGGTCCCTACCTGCTACTGAATTAAAACAAGGATATTTTGGTCAAATTATTCAACCACCACGTAAGTTTGTAAATTGTAACTACACGCGCTTACAGACTAATAAGAGAAAACCATGTCGATTTTCTGGCGGTTGAGTTAGTTATTCAAGCTGCCCGAAAAGCTAATTATGTATAATTGATCAATCGGTCAGCTGCCCGTGACATTCGGGCAAATAACTTGCAAAGAGCAGTAGCTCCCCCACATCCTATAAATATCCGGCCACCACCTTCACTGGCAAACCGGCAGAGGCCAAAGCCACCCACAAACGGAGGCACAGAGAACACTCTCTTCAACACATAACCCTCCCCATCTTCAATGAATTCAATCTCTGGTTTCGGTTCTGACTACATCTTCTCCACGGATTTCCGTGGAATCTCGCCTTCCTTGGCCGGAGAAAACGTTGCCGATGCAATGTGGGGAGATGAAATCTCGCCCTTCGTCGGGCATGGAGCTATCAATACAACGCCTCCGGCGTCTGACGTGGTGCCGTCTTTTTATGGGATACCGTATCCTGAGAGGCTTGGAGTTCCAGCTGTAGATGTTGCAGAGTCTGCGTTGCCGGAATTCGACATGGGTTTATGTGGCATTACCGGAATTCAGAGTCTTGGGTCTGGATACCAACCGGATGTTTATGAGTTCGGAGATAATAAACGCAATGCGTTTGCGTCAGATTTCCGGCAGGTTCACACTGGTGGCGATGTTTGGGTATGTACTTCATAACTTAAATATCTGTGGAAAGGATTATATTGTAGCTTAATATACTCCTCTTTGCCTTCTTAATTATCAATCTGGGATATGAACTGTAAGAAGTCAGATGAGGTTGGATTTTCTGATCAGACCAAAACAGATTTTCCGATAGTTTGGAGCCTCTGATCAGTATTAAACTATCATGGGAAGCTGTGAGATTAATTATGAGACCGTAGCAAGCTATAGGCTTTATTTATTTATTTGGTTAATTTTTTGATTGTGTAGGCAATTCAAGGAAATTCAATACCAGCAGTTGAAGAAAGAAATCTCAAAGTTGGTCGATACACAGTAGAAGAGAGGAAGGATAGAATCCTCAAGTACTTGAAGAAGAGGAACCAAAGGAACTTCAACAAAACCATTAAGGTGAGCTTTTCAAGAAACTTTATTTTTAATTCCTTTTCTGAATTTCATGTTGATTCTACAGTTGCGTGTACTGAAGAACACAGAGAATTCACAACTTGTCTCTTCATTTTTATCTCTCTCTCTCTCTCTCTTTCTCACACACGCATGGTTTACAGTACGCCTGCCGAAAAACTCTAGCTGACAGGCGGGTCAGAGTTCGTGGGAGATTTGCAAGGAATAACGATGTGTGTGAAGAAGCTACATCGATGAAGAACAACAATAACGATAGCAGTCATCAGGACGAAGAAGAATACTATGATGATGGCTCCCAGGTAGTTTTAATTAATTGATTGGAATTTTCAGAGTTAATTTCTTATTCAAAAACTATTTCCAAATGAATTTGTCCTGGAATTTTCTGTAGATTCAGAGAAAAAAAAAAAAAGAAGGAAAAATTAATAAAAAAAAGAAGAGAAAGTTTCAACTTTTTAAACTCCTTGGGTGTCTGTTGTTCGTTTTAAATGGAGACGTGAATGTGAAACTCTCTCTCTCTCTCTCTCTCTTTGCTTTTTTTTTCTCTTTTTATTGAACTTTCTTCCTTTAATTTATTCCATATTACATGATTGTCTTATAATACTTTTGCTCTATTTGTTTGGGTTTGCAGATGAAGCTAAATGAAGAAGATTGGTTGCAAGAAGCTGTGACAAATCTCATGTATCTACCTATTTTTTCTGGATGATTTGGTGGAACCTGATGTAAAAAGGAAACTTAGTATTACAATTTAAAGCTGTCTAATTATTTGATAGAATAATTTCACTTTGTAGAAGATGAAAAGGGGGAAAAATTAGAAACTTGGATGGTTTAAGAACCAGTGTCTATTTAATATTCTTGAGTAAACTGGAAACGCCTTGTTTTCAATTCTATCTTCATATCAAGGGGACCCAAGTTTTTTGTTCGTTTTTTTTTTGAAAAGCAAGGGGACCCAAGTTGTAACGCTTTCTTTTCATATATAAAACAAAACTAAATTATGTGTCTGTATAGGCTTGTGCTGGGTTAGCCTTCATAACTATCAACTGGTGGATTATCTGCTTACATGGTTAGAGGGTCAAGTAGATATGATTTGGCTTGGACAAACCCATATCAGACCTTGCCCACTTCCACAGTTGAAACCTCACCAGATGTTTAAATTGGAGAGAGAGAGAGAAGAAAGAAGTGGTTCTGTATACAATTCAAGGGCGTGTTTGGTAGGATTGAACTGAAGATTCAACTAAAAGCTGGTTCAGCTGCTTTAAAGAGCCCGGATATGCTATTCAAAGATGCTGAAGCGGACAGCCCTTCAAATGACTGAATGTCTATTTGGAAGGGCTGAGCCGATAAACTATCTAAAGAGGCTGAAGCGTATGGCCCAAAAAATGATTGACAGCCAATTTCGACACTCCGGATTTTTTCACCAAACACAGTTAAAGGCTGTCTATGTAGGGCAAACCTTGGAAAGCTGGAAGTCGCTGGGCTTCAGCCTTTCCAAACAGACACTGATTGGGAGGGGTGAAGCACAGTTGCTTCTAGCTTTTGAGGTAGACCAGATCCCACATGGACAGCCTGTAAGCTATGTTTAGTGATTAATTGGGAGAGTCACTGTGCTTCAACCCTCCAAACGGGCACCAAGAATAGTGGATCAAGCCTATGAATTTGGTCAAGATTCTTGAATTTTATCTCTAAGAACACTATGTCTCAATCAACCAAAAAGAAGAAGAAAAAACAGACGAAAAAAAAAAAAGAAAGGAACATCATGTCTCCCTCAGTGCACCTGTGGAAGCGCATGCTACTTTTTATGAAAACGAAACTTGTAATCACAAAAGTATTGTACCTATGGCTCCAAATGCAACCCCTCAATTTGACATCTTAATGTTGCTTATTTCCTAAACACATTTTGTTCTTTAGGCTGCGTTTGGAATCACTGTAAAACATCATCGGTGTAAGTACACTGATAACATTTTACACTGAACCATAAAAGTGACCGTTGCTTTTTAAAAGTAGCGATGGGTGGAAGAGTAATGTTTTACATCGATAAAATTGATGTAGTTTTTACATCGATGTAAAACTTTAGAGCTGATGAGGTTTTACATCGATTATCGACGTAAAACTCCACTCCATCCAAACGCATGCAAAATTGAACCAGAGTGGAGTTTTATGCCGATAATAATTACACCCTCTTTCCAAACCTCGATAATAATTACATCGCATCCAAATGCAACCTTAACAGCTAAAGATATCTAAATGAATGTTCTTTATTTATTTATTTATTTTTGGATATAAAAGTAGCATTAATTCATTTGATAATATAACTTGTATGGTAGAACTCAGATCATTTTAGAAGGAAGAATCCTCATCTGACAACATCTCTAAGAAGTAATTTGCATGTTTAAGGGGCTAGAAGGGCTAGGGGCATGGGTGGAGTCAGGAATTTATTTTTTGGATCTAAAACCTTACATGGATGGGTCAGGGGGGTGGNGGACAAATAAACATGGATGGGGCCAATCATCCATAATAAAATTGGAAACTTTGGGGCATAGGATCGACCATGGCTCCCCAGAGTCCCCCTAGCTCCACCCTTGCCTAAGGGTAGATCAAAAGGACATGAATCAAAGTAGTAAGAAATGATTTAAGCAGCATAAATAGATCAGAATGGCAAAACAGGATTTATGTGTACCCGACCATTTATAATTGGGGTAAGGCTTATGTTATGATGTTGATATACATGTAAAGAAAAAAACGGAATACTTGAATACACAACCTTATTAAGTATGATTTCTTTTTTAATGAATGTATTCTACCAATATTGGTGTAGTGGACCATATATATTGCTTAAAATCAATAGCTTAACCATGTGAGACCTAAATCATAAAATGTATAGGATAGTATCAAGAAATCAGTAGAATTTGCTTAAATATAATTAAGGTATTGAACATCTCTTTTTATTTTTTTGATACTAAAATGAAAGTATGTTGTACCCACCGCATGAAAAGAAAAACCCTTTATTGGAGATTCAAAGATTTTAACTAAATATAATTAATCACTTTTTTTAAAATCCTTTAACTAATTAGTTAATTGAAATTTATTGAATCTTCTCAACGAGCCATTCAACTTATAATTGGGTGATGTCTAGGAGTGTTAATTAGAGTGGATTTGGTCCAATCTGATCCAGTCCAATGTGAGTCCATCATAAATAGACCAGGTCCAATCCAATCCAATGAATATTTTGGACCGGTCCAATTCAATGTCTGGACTGATCAATTTGTTCAAATTCATTTTGATTTAGATTGGCTTCAACCAAAACGTAGTCCATTAACACCTATATTTTTATCTTATATCAATGGACCAGATATTGGCTTAACCCAATCCAACCCAATCCAATATAAATTTATTACGGGCAGAACAGGTCCAATCCAATCTAATAAATATTTTGGACTGGATTGGTCCAATTCAATATGTCATGTTGATTCATCCAAATTGACTTTGGACTGAATGGGGTCCAACCAAACCTGGTCCATTGACACCCTTAGTGATGTCCAAGCTTTTTATTCTCTAACATGACCCGCCAATGCAAAAACATATCGGGCTTGAAGCATACAAGTACAAACCCATCATACGTTATGCTAAAATTTAATTAATTCTAACGGAGATAACGAAGATAAAACTTGATCAAATAAGCTCTCATACTATATCAAAGAACTGTATCTTCTTAACCCATTAATCTGAGCCCCTGTCCCTTTCCTTCTCCCATATCATTGACCATATCTTATCTCTTATCATCCAAAAGAATACAGTGAATTGGACTATTGGAATCGTCTTATAAAGCAGATTTTGGCATGGGGAATTTAAAGGTGCGGTAAACGTTATCTAATGTGCAACTAGAGGGCACCACATTTCCCAAAGGGATGTCCGGCACATTTAGGATCATTTGCGCTTGATGGAAAGGTTTTCCTTTTTCAGTTAAAATAGTGGGAGCACAAACGTATTCAGGGAACTCACCTAAACTTTAAGCTTTAAACAGTTTTATATTCTCTCTCTATCTATCTATCTATCCATTTATCTATTTATCTCCCTCTCTCTCTTTATATATATATATATATATATCATGGTTTTCAAAACCGGTCAGGTGATCGATTCTATTTTTCCCCAAAACCAAATTTTTCCCAAAAACCATTGGTTTTGGTCAATAAACCACTGAACCAGGTGATTAACCGTTCAAACAATTTTGACCATTTTTTATTTTTTTATCTTTTTGTCAGAACGGGCTGATCATTCATTTCAAACGATCAGACCGTTTGACCTAGGAACCAGACCCCTGACCAGTTCATTGTCCAGGTCAGTTTTATATATATGTGTAGCCTTCCTATATTATTCAACTATATAATTTTACCAATTAGGATAATTTCCTCTTAAAAGCATCTGATACAAGACTAAGAAATTCATTCGTTAGTTACCTGTAGTCCTTTTATATTAGATGTTTGTCAACATTGGCATAAATTAAGCAAAAGAAAGGTGAGGGCTGAAGGCCCAAAAGAAGGCCCGCAGGTGAGAGTGCTCAGCCCAAAAGAAGCCGAGAAAGAAAGGTCAAAGGTTTACAGCCTAAAGCAATAGATAGTCTCTTATTCCTTTTATGTTGTGTTTGGATAAGCTTTAGGAGCTGTGCTTTCATGTCCCAAAAGCATAAGCCCCAATTTTATGCTTTGTTCTTTGGGTCTTAAAAGTGTTTTGGCTTTTGACATGTTTTTAATTTAAAGCAATTATTACCAGACACTCAAAACACTTTTCGATTGATTTTTGTTTCTCAAAGCACAAAACTAGAGAGGCAAGAAGCTTATACAAACAGAACCTAGTAATTAATCTAATTAAACAAGATGTTTTATGTGGAAACATGGTGAAAGCACTTTGAATTTTAAGCAAAATAAGTCAACATGAACATGCCAAAGGAGGGGGAAGAAATACTTTTATCAACTTTCTTTGTTTAGTTTTTTTTTTTTTTTATTACATTCTTTCTGCTACAAAGATTGGATAAGGAAAGTAAAGGGTGTTTGTCACAAGCACCCATTCCATCTTTCGTAAGAAAGCACTACTCTAAAGTGATCCAAACAACCTCATGATCGTGAACGTGACCCCTCACATGTCAAGTTGTGATCATTTTGGGTATTATGACAATAGTTCAGTTGACACAAGAACTTGTCCATATAGCAATCTAAGGTTCTTTGAATCATAATTTAAAGCAATAATTAATAACTGGAAACTATAGATTATGAATTCCTCATTGAATCAATGCTCTCTTTGGCTTCAAATATTGTTAAACTTAATTAATTCGTTCTCCATCACTCTACTATAAATTTCAGCCTTTTGGGTCTTTGTGACAACAGTTCAGTTGACACAACAACTTAGCCAATTAGCAATCTAAGGTCCACTGAATCATAATTGGATGCAATAATTGATAACTGGAAAATTACAGGTTATGAATGCCTCATTGAATCAATGTTCTTTTTGGGTTTTGGCTCCAAATTTTATGTAGTTTTGCTCTCCACCACTCTACTTTGAATTGCAGCCTATATAGGTTAATACAATACAGTAGTGATTATTCAGGAAATAAAATAAAAAGGCAACAACTTGAGAGTGGATTTCAGTGTCCTTTCAGGAGCAGTGAAGGTTAAATGATAATTCTAATGGGGTCAAGCTTGTTAGTTTATTGGTTTGAATGTTTCTGTGTGAATGCGACATTGATTCAAAGTCCAACCTTAGATCAATCTAATGACCCACCGTAACCATTTGTCGGCAATGAAATATTAGTTATTAGTTATATTCTTTCTCTCACTTCCTCTCTCTCTCTCTCTCAACATCCAAAGATCTATGTATGAGAAGCAGAAACTGTAACATTTGACCTGTGGGTTCGTCGGAGAAGTATAGTTAATGCTGGTTGACTACATCGATCTCTAGGAAATTGGATATAGTAAACCAATTCAATCAATCAATA